GACTAAACTTACGTGGACATTTGAACATGGAGGAAAAGAAATAAAAGCCTTTGGGGGTTAAAACTTCAATATGAAATATATTAAATAAAAAATTCTTTTATGAAATGCTTCTAAAGTTGTCTAACATTTCTTAAATCAATCTGTAGCACATAATCAGTAAAACCATATCATTTAAACAGAAAGATCATAACTTATAACCTCACCCTTGGGCAGCTGTATCCCATTATGGGCTGTAACTTAGCACATGAGTTTCAGAAGTTGTTAAAATTGAGTTCAAGCTAACAAATCTCAATTGTTAAAATAAAATATAAAATAAAATAAAATAAAAACCTTTGGTGAGATGAGGAAGTAGCTTATGAAGAGGCCACAGACTGACCTCGTGGGATAAGTGTCTATTATATTTTATTTTGACCTGTTAAATAAATGTATCTGTATATGAGGAAAATGGTGTTAAGGCAGATATGGCCTTTATGTGACTGAGAAGTTACTCTCCCTCTTTAAAAGACTTTGAAATATTTTCTCCTTGGGATGTCTTTCAATATTTAAACTGCCAAATGAACATTTGCTGATAAAAGATAAATTAAACATCTTTTATACTACTGATAACTGAGCTGAAGTTCTCATTTTCTCAGTATAAATTCAAATAAAAGTCATTGTATCCTGTTACAAATAAAGTAAAACTGACATTTGAACAGTCTTCCATAAAACATGCATGTCTAGTTTAATACTAAAAGTATCAACATTTACTTTATTGCAATTAAGATGGAATCATTGCTCTGAAATGAAGTGGCGGGCTTTCAAGGGCAGTTTATGTGGTGGAATGCCCTGCATTCTGTGCAGGGATTTTACATTTCTTACGTCTACCCCTTTCTGTTAAATGTGAAAACTATAAATATATCATCAAATTTATAGATTCAAATAACTACACTAAAGAGAATGGGATGGAAAAAATACTTGACTCTTGAGGATTTTTTTGCTTTCCCAGGCTATATACTGCCAGATTCATGATTACTAAGATGTTTTTAATAGCCTTGTAGTCTGGTCTGAGTTTTCTAAAGGGTAGAAATGTGCTCTTTGAAGTTAAGTATTCACCTATCTGATATATATAACCTTCCACGCAGAGAAATGTTTTTCAAATAAAAAAGTTAATGCACCTCAAATATGTGAGAAATTTGCATCTGAGAGCAACGTTTAGCAAAGATTGCATTTTACCTTTTCATCATAGAATGTGGAAAAAATATTAGCGAAATCCAACATAAAACTTTATAAAGCTAACCCACTAATTCACTAACTGTTGTGGCTAAAATGACAATCAGGATAGCTTTTAAATAATCTCTTGGAGAAAGTTGTTTTGATTTGGCTTTCAGTTAGTGAAAGCCACTTTCTCAGAGGCATATTCACCATTCGCTAACCTTACATCTAGCCTGGGTTGGCAAATGGTTTCCTACTGATAAGGTTGCATTTCTCCCCAATGTAGGTATCAGTACCTACACCTTCAACAGGCATCAGCCTATGCTTTGTCCTAATGTTCAAAAAGCCATAAACTTCAGCAAAGAGTTTAAGGTTATACCTAACTCTAGTACTTCCTAATGGCCCGTGTGTCTGGAAAGACTCAATCTACCTCTTCATTCAATCCATGACCCATGTATATGGCCTTTGGCCAAGTGGCTTCTCCTCCTCTAAAAATACCCCACATCTGCATTCCTGTCATGCTGTGTTCAGATATGCCTACTTATTGGACAGCCCCACCTCCCAAAAAAGTTCATCTTTTTTCCCTCTCTGCCTTCTCAACAGACTGTGCCACTACAGCCCTACTATGCTGGGACTTGGCTGCTTTGCCTCCATTCTACCACTAATAAAAACCGTATACACAGCACTACAGCGCTGTCTACTTTTACTGGCTTACTAGGAAGAGTAAATGTTTCTGGCAAAGTATCTGTCATACAATGAGGATTTAACATGCTAGTTTCTATAAAAAGGATGGAGTAACACTTGGAGATGTAAGTATCTTATACTTTTGTAATGTGAAGAATTAGTACCTAGGTTATGATGTGCCTACACAGCCATTTTGAAATCATGCAGTAATTGCTCTTGAGAAAGCCAAGGAATGGTCAGACAGTGGCCAACAAAGAGCAAGCAAGTACATTCTCCACGAGAGAGGGCCAGAGGTGCTCTGAAGACAGTTCATCCTTGCCTGTGACTCAGGATCCATTTAATGAAGTTGGATGACACAGAGCTCAGAATGGAAGGCAGCATGGGCACATGCCACAATTGCTCTGCACACAGATTCTGTCTGGCCGTGTGGAGCTATCCAGTGCTGCCTGCTGTAGAGATGCTCCTGGAGAACAGTTTCATGCCAGCCTGCGGACACAAACTTCAGATTGGGATCCCATCTTATCCCAAACCTCTTTCATTTTAATGTCTACTAATAAGTAAGGAAAAAATTTCTTTCCTTTTAAGAAAGAAAATAACATTAAAAAAATTTTTTTAAAAACACACAGCTATCGTGGATGAACAACGCACCTAAACCACAACAGACTGAACCTGCTGTGAAACACCACCTGAAGGGCCTCCATGGCTGAGCAATGCATTCAACATTATTTCCTTAAGGGAATGTAACCATTCCCACATGGGTCTGCCTTAGACCAGAAACCTCTCAGAGCGCTTTTGGTAATCAACTTAAAGAGAAAATTTACCAACTGTTGCTTGTTTGTAAGCAAATCAAAAGGTAACCCAGGGTGGTGAATGGCCCAGGAGGCCGTTTTTGGCTCTCTGTACTGGGTGTCCAAAGAGTAAAAGAAATACCACTTTGCCTTCACAGAAGTTTAAGAACAACCGACAGTTTTTTCTAAAATTCTCCTTTGTTCACTTGAGCTGAGTTTTATAATTTCTTGAAGTCCCTTTCATCTTCCAGGAAAGAAAGGAAGCAATTCTCTTTAAATAAATAGCAGTTATGTATCCCTCCTGGCAGAGACGAGGTGGGTGGTGGCGGGGGCGGAGCCTGGAGTGAGCTAAGAGGACAGGAAGGAGACTTCAGAGCTGCTGCTTAAGACTGGTGGTAGTTTTTTTAGGTTGCCAGCAGGAGTATGGTGGCGTTATGTGCCCGAGACATAACGCTCCTGAGCCAGACTTTGACATGTGTAGCACCCACAGTAGTCAAGGTGTGGCTTGGTCCCCAAGCAGACGTCTGATGTCCTGACTCAGAAAGTAAAACCCATTTCTACTCTTCCACAAAGATGGGTAGAGACGTTTGCCATTTAGCTTATGTCACTGAGTTATTTTATTTCCAGGTTAGAAAACCTGGAAATATTCTAACATTCTAACATTCTAACCTTCACCCTGAAGGAGCAGCTGCAGAGCAGCAGCTCATTCCAGGGTAAGCTGGCAAGGAAAAATGCCAAATTTAGAATTTTTTTGTTGTTGTTAATGAATGAAATATAAGAAACGTGACACATTTTTTCCGTATGAAAGCATTTCTGTGTGGATTACCAGGGTCTCAGAAAAAGAAAAAAAAAAAAAGAAAAAAGAAAAAAAAAAACGGACTTCTTGCAAAAATTTTGGTGAGAGACATTGTCCCTTTAAAAACTCTTAGTCTCTTATAAACTCTATGCAATTGGAAGAAATTAGTTCAGCTTGAAAACTGGACCATGCAGACTCAGATTTGAACTTTTCCCTCTTTGTGTGTATGTGTGTGCTTTTAGCTGCTTCTAGTCTTCAAATTCTAGATGTAAGTCTTTACAATTTATCCAAAGCTTTGGACATGCCAAAGCTTTTTACCCTTCATTAAGACTTGAATGCATTGCAGGAAAAAGACATTCTTTCCTTCTCTTTCACTGAGGGAAACGTAACAAGCCAGAATAGACTCCAGAATAAGGTTGAGGATACAGTGATTTTTATTATTTCTAGCATAGCTATTGACAAATGCTTGAAGACAGTATTTTTTAAAAAATTAAGAAGGAAAATGGTTTTCATTTTATGGCTTGGAGGACAGATTGGTTACAATTTAATTTCTAAGAGGAAAATTTTGTAGAATAAAGTGGTCAGACATTTCTCTTTTTTAATCACACATATGAGAAATATAAGCTGCATGGACATCTGGAAAGGACCATTATCCACTAATCAGAAAGCAAAAAATCCAAACCACTGTTACTTTGATGGAGACAAACATCTCTAGAGTCACAAGGAGGGAAGCTGTAACGTATTGCAGCTAAAAACATTCCATATGCATTTTCACCTTTTGGGCAGTTCCAAAGCGCAATTCTATTTCAGAAGCCCTTTGTAATCCGACACTCACTGTAGATAAGATACACTGTGAAGATAGTCTGCTTTGCAGCAGTGAGAAATCAAATTGGTTCCAGAAGTGAAGTTCTATGACAAATGGTTTAATAGTATTGCTGGAATTGGAAAGCTTGACTGAATTATTTTTCATAATCATTTTAGAAAAAGATTTAAAAATAACTTTGCCATGCCATGTGGGATGGGGGTTGGGATGTGGGGAATGAGGCTGAAGTTAGAAGGCATCTTGTTTTATTGGCATTATAATTTGTTATTAAAATTTAGGAGCTCAGTTAAAATTAAAAATTTTTGCTACAAGTAATTGTAGATAAAAATATGTGATTCAATGTGACTAGTTATCTCATTAAATAAACTAGCAACTAGCAATGCATTTTTATTATCATTTCCAAGTTATTTGTTTCCTTCGAATTCCAGTCATCCTTGCTTTATTTAAAAAAAAAAAGCCTTTAGAAAAGTTCATTAAGACTGGTCAGGTTTTAGACTTTAGAAGAAGGGTCATCTACACAGTAGGATCTTGTGGATGTAGGAAAAATGAAATCATTCCCCTGACTGAAGCCAGGAACAATTTAAATATCGCTTAGACCACAGCACACACGACTACAAAGCTCTAGCAGAAATCATAGTTAAATAGGATGTGACTAGACATTTAGGACTATTTTCTAAAAAGTCAGGAAAAAAAATAGTTTTTTTCTTTCAGTACTTACAGTCTTTGAAGACCAAAGCCGGGTCTCTGTGAGGCAAGGCTTGGGCAATGATGTGCCTCAGAGATTCCAAGGTTCTGTCCATCTCCGGTCTGCCTGTGCAAGCCTCCTGCACTGTGTCCTCATGCCTGAATTCTTGCAGCTCTGGACTGAATTTGTGCAGCTCATTGATGCACTGGATTACCAAAGAATCCCTTTTAACATCTGCCAATCAGACATTTCCCAGAATCTAAAGACCCTCAGGGCCCTCCTCTCAGGCTAACTTATCTTTGTTGTATGCTGAGCTAATTAGCCTGAAAGGCTGGCTGACAGGCTGGTTCCCATTGCTTCATTCAGTTCAACACACCCCCCTACAGGCTAGCTGGGGAAGCTCACTAATCCTGGGAACAGATTTCCTCTCCAACCAGATTTGGCCTGGATGCTCTGCTGCCTCCAGTCTTCAAACGTGCTGCCCCAGGAACGTGGACTCAGGAATCATGTTTCTCAAAACGATTTCCTAAATTACAAAGGAAAGGCTTGGGATTGCCATTATTGAATAATCACTACCACCAACATAATAGAAACTCCTTTTTGGAAAAGGGGTGCGATAAGGATTGTGATTGGAATTAGCTTTCTGAAATCAGAACCCTCCCCCACCCCACTGACAGTCACTGCTGATGAGCAGTAGCAAGCAAGACCAGATGGGCTCTTTTGCAGCTTGCCTGACCACATTTCTTTTTTTCTATTGCCCTCCAAGACAAATCATTCCCAAGATTGACTTTAATTAACCCTGATATCATTCACTCATAATAATTTTTTTCTGTTAACAATCTCAGGGTGAGAGCCTGGAAAAATGGCTCCGTGCAAAAGCAGGAGAACTTGCGTTCAAAACCCCAGCACCCGTGTAAAAGCAGGCCATTGGTGCATGTACAGGCAACGCTAGGGTAGGGAAGCGGAGGCAGGTGGATGGATCCCAGGACCTGTCTACCAGTCAATTTAGCAGAAACGGGGAGTTTCCTAGTCACTGAAAGAGCCTATTTCAAAAAGTAAGGTGGAAAAGATAGAAGAAGATATCCAGCTTTGTCCTTGGGTATTCGCTGGCATGCGCACCTGAGTATTCGTCCCAGGCACTGCTACCGTCACCACCACCACCACCAATAACACCACCACTATCACCAATACCACCACCACCACCACCACCACCACCAAAGCAACAGCAGCAGCAACAACAGTAACAAGAATTTCTGGTGGGCAAGAGCCAAAAGTGCTACCTTTAAAAAGAATATAGGGAGCTATTAAAAGAACTCAGTGAACCAGATTCTCTCCTATCTATGTATCTATGCTCCCTACAGCATCCAAAATTATGTGTAAAGTAATATTTTGACAAGAGACAAATAGGTCATGTGATCACATTGCAACAAAGTGTAAATCAGAAATGGAAGAACTGATTTTAAGGGCTGTAAGCTTTAGTTGCTGAGGAGCGGTGAAGGACTCCTTCGCTCTGTTTAAAGTCTCTTTTACACAGCACCCACCAAGCTCGTTTTCTACTGTTCCTTCCTACTTTTACATTCAATTATTATGAAATTAGTCCTTTAGTATAGTAAAGACTGTTATAAATAAAGTGTTTTCCATGTGATCAAGTTTCTTCAGCTAGTTGGAGAAGGATGGGCTTAATAATAATAATAATAAAAAAACTAGCAGTAAGTCAATGTTATTGTAATGACTATTCCCTGGCAAATATCCACAGGAAATATTACATTAACTAAAAGGATGCCTAGAGCTGTGCATGTTTTGTTTGTATGCTTGAATCTAATGTGAAGAGATTGGCTTTGGGATACTTTATATGGCCTGGGCCACACTGTGAGCCTGTGAGGATACGTACGAGTACAGCCGTGCCTGCCTATGTGTGTGTGTGTGCGCGAGTGTGTGTGTGGTGGTAATGGTGCTGTTGAAGACCAAACCCAGAGACTTGCACAGGACAGACAATCAAACTATCATCGTGCAATATTTTCAGGCCAGAAAAATGTTATTAATGTTACTGCAGTCCAAGAGTTTAAAATGTATTTTTTATTTTGGAGAAATAAATTCCTAATTTCAAAAGTAAACTGGGTGACTTATGGATGAAACAAACAAACAAACAAACAAAAACACCTCCCTGTCTTCATGAGGGTCCCCTAGCAGTAGAGCAGGGGCTGTGTCTGACATGGGCTCTGTTGCTTGCTTTTGAATCACTTTCCCTTGCCTGGGCCTCCTTGTCGGGCCTCTGGGGAAGAAGACACACTTAGTCCTGATGCAGCTTGCTGGGATGGGTTAGTGGGGGACTCCCCTTTTCTGAGGAGAAGGAGAGGGGGAAGGGGGCAAAAGGGTGGGAGGGTAGGACCAGGAGGAGAGAAGGGAGGTGGGGGGGCTGCTATAGGGATGAAAAGTGAATAAATAAATCAATTTTAAAACGAAAAAAGAGAAAAAACTCTGTTACACAATGATTAGACTGTGTAGTGAGAGTAGGTAAGTGCTTTGAGAGTGACACAGTATTGGAAACCAAGAAAATTAATGTTCTTATTACGGAACCAGGACAAATAATATGGGTTTCCCAAAGAAGTGGCACTAATAACAGACAACAGAAAATTTAGAAACGATTGATGCCTGGAGCTCTGTCAGTGAATGGGCTTTTCCTGAAGATCTAAATTGAACGTGATAATTCTTTAAAACATTTATTTGCTTCTTTTATGTGCATGGGTGTTTTTCCTGCATATGTGTCTCTGTGCCACCTGTGTACCATGTGGGACTTAAACCTGAATATTCTGGAAAAGCAGCCTGCGCTCTGAAAGAATCACTGAGCCGTCCCTTGAGATGCAAATTCTAATCTTAAACACAGCATGTAGAAGGAACAATAAATGTGGCCTAGGATTATGTAAAAATGGCTGTAAAAAGCCATTCATCTCCGAGTTTACATTTCTCAGGCATAACAATCAGGGAGTTAATCTGAATGTTCCATTAAGTTCTAACATGTCTGGTTCTATGGTTATAAATAAACACACCTATTAGCACAGATTTTCTAGACATCAAAAAAGTCACATTTTCATTTCACAAATGCTAGACTAATATTCAGAAAGTCACTTCTAGGGCCAGTCAATCTAACCATCCATCTGCAGGAGACACAATAAATACCAACATGAGGAATAGAAAGACGCTCACTGCCAGTGCCACACAGGAATTTTTAAGAAAACTATGAAAAACATTGAAAACTATGAAAAACTAAGAAAACATTCAAAGCAAATTCACCAACATAGCTCAAAGAAGCATTGCAGTGTTTAGTGATTCACATTTAATAAATGAAAACATTAATTTCAACAAAGGCAGTTAGCATTGTTTCCTCATGAAGCCCAGTCTTTCAATAAAAGTTTTCCTAAGCCTCTACTTACTCATTCTTTGAATGCTCATAAAAATTTCTTAGGTCACGTAGTCATGGCACACACCTTTACTCCTCACACTCAGGAGGCAGAGGCAGGTGGATCTCTGTGAATCTGAGGCCAGCCTTATCAACAAAGTGAGTTTGGGATAGCCAAGCCTACACAGAGAAACCCTGTCTCAAAACCAACCAACCAAACAAACAAATCTTGTTGTTAATGGTCAGAAAAACAAAACAAAACTGTAGTTTCTTTATTTTCTTTGATGTGAAAAGCAACCACGGAGCTGGAAGGGCCAGAGAAACATTAAGCAATGAGTCTGTTTTAACAGGGATTTTAAAGCTCACAGTCTTCACTCAATTAACTACCTGAAGGTTATGCCAAAGGCACAATTAAAATATAGAAATGAGGTAAGAGACTACAGTAAAGGAAATGATGCTCTAACAAACATTGTGAGAGTACTAATTTAAAGGATAAGAGATGGCATCAAACTGACATGCTCAGTGATGGAAACTCAACACTCAACGGTAAACGGGGACACTTAAGTGAAAAAAAAAAAAAAAGCACATTCCAGGCTTCTAGGAGGACCCAGAGAACATGAGGTGACAACATTGCTCATTTTCCTAGTAGCATGCTTAATTGCTAAAAAATAACTCTGATTATACATTTATAAAAATAATACGGGGGTGGGGCCACCAACTGGAATTCAGAAAACACTAAATGTAACTTAGGGTAACCATTAATTGAAAATGAAAAAGAAACCTCTCCTCGTGCCAATAGTGTGCTGTACTCCTAAGAAGGTCCAATATTGTCAATATTGTCAAGGCAGGGAATGGGACTGCTGGTTAGGCTTCAGTCCATGACTTGTCAGCTTCAAAGAACAGGCCTGTAGTTCTGGCCTCAACCAACCCACGCTCTTTTTAAAAAATTATGACTGCTGTATGTAAGGGAGGAAGTACATAATGAGTGTGAGGTGTACATGCCTTGGAACACACATGGAGGCCAGAGGAGCCTTGTGGAGCTGGATCTCTCCTTGAAGGGATTCTGCTGATGCAACTCAGGTAGCCAGGCTTGTACGCCAAACACCTTTATTCAGTGAGCAATTTTAGTGGTCACTGACATATTTTTATTTCTAATGAATCAGATGACTGAGGGAGGGAGGGAAGGAGGACCCTGATTGAGAGCTAGAATAATAATTATCCTCCTTGAAATAATTTTTTCGTTTACATGCTTATACCTTGATGCTAAAATGTTTATGACAAAATAGATGAACTCAAGAGGAGTTAATGTGTTAAGACAGAGAGTGAAGGGTTTACAGAAACTGACAGATTCCAATGAAGGTGGGCAAGGTGAACTGGAAGGATGAAATGGGAAACAGGCAAGTGAGGGTCAAAGCCATGATAGGCAGAGTTTCCCAGGGAGGAAAGTTTCCCAGGGGGAAAGAAGAAGACTCAGTAGTTGTTGAAATGTTGAGGTTTAGTGTCAGCTTTGCTTCACCTCAGCAATAAAGAAGCCAGGAGGAAGGATGAGTGGTTGCTAAGCTCCAACTTTAATAATTAAAAGAAGTGAATAAATTGCTTAGCGTCTGCTTACTGTCTTTTGGGAGGAGACCAATGAGGTGCTTGTATAGAGGCATGTATGAGAAACAGCCAAAAAGGTAATTACTGACACTTTCTACAAACAAAAGTTTAAAACCACAAGTAACATAGTGAGACTTTACTCCAGACCTTTCATCCATTGATATCTGGCTATATTAGGAACTTGTCAATAACAAGTAGTCTGTTGAACCAAATGATAAAGAGAAAAATAATGAATATCCCATCTTCAGAAAAATGGGATGTACATTTCATTTTTATAGAAAAATATGTTTAAAGGGCAGTTATAAAAATGTCCTTTATCCTTGCTAGGATGTCCGAGTTCACCCTCATGACCAAAACCAACCAACCAACCAACCAACCAAACAAACAAACAAACAAAAACAACAACAAAAAACAAAATCAAACAACAACAACAACAACAAAAACAAAACAAACAAACAAAAAACACTATAAAAATAAAGTTTTCACCTAGCAGTGCCCTTGTTCGGTCCATTTCTCTTGAAAGGACATATGCTGTCATATAGTCTTATATGACCAATTTTCCAGCCTTATCTTCAAATTTGGTCTCCAAGAGAAGCACAGCTTGTTCTTTAAAAAACGCTTTTACAGTTCAATCATATAATTAGGGAAGATTTTGCTCACTGGTTAACATTTTTTGAGAATAAACTTGGAATTGTTTAAAACTGGAATAATTTGGCTGTTCCGTTTCATAAGATTGGAGATAATACTGTAAAGACATTTGGTTATTACATATGTGTCCGTGAAAACTGAAAAGATACTTTAATGGTGGCTGGCTGACTTCCAGAACAATTCATGTTTTGAAAGGGATAATTTTGGTTTATAAAATAGATTTTGCCAATGGCTTTTATTGTGATATTTACCTTCAAAGATTAACTATTAGTTCCTCTCAAATTTGCTCCCTCCAAGGCTGGGATTTATACAGTTGGTTGTTTGAAGGAAAAAAAAAAAAAGATTGAAGATGTGTCTATGGAGAGAGATTTGTTTGCGGAGAGGCTATTGAACTCCCACGGTCTTTGAGACACTTCTTAAATGAAGAGGATGGGGTCTTCCACAGAGTGTGCCGGGGGCTGAGACATCATTTTTTAAAATTCATGTTTCTGGAAGTATGTTTGTGCAGAATAAATTAAAGTGAATGCATATATTCATTATATACTCATAATATATTAAGAGAAAGAAAGACTAGGAGAAAAGTATTAGGTTAAAACAGAGGATGTTTATTGGTTACAGACAAATGACTGAAGTATGAGATTAGTTGATGATACAAGGTTCCTGCAACCAGTATTTTCACAGATTCATCTATTTTAGATGAAGTTTCCTGTAAAGGTTACATCATCAGTAGACAATTCAGCTCCAGCTACTTATGGATATATTAAGATAAAAGCCTCATGCCCTTCCACTTCACACTGTAAACTATCATTTCCATGCACTTCCTATGTCTCGTGACCAGAGTACTGACTGCACTTAGCAAGCATTCTGCTGACAAAGAAGAACTGCATCTTTTCAAAAATGGTTTAAGGAGGAATAAGAAACAGCACACAAGGGGGCGGTGGGGTATTTTCCCACAAGTTATAACCTAGGGAAAGCCCAAAGGACAAAATAATAAATTCTTCTGCTCCTCTAAAAGTACTCGGGTAACCTTACTCCCTCCTGTGACTCCCTCCCCCAAACTACAAGAATGTTTTCATAGAGCACTTTTACCTTCTTGGGATGGGTGTTCTTGAACATGTGAAAAGAAAGGCTGTGCTTCCTAAAAAGGAAGGTACCAAGGCACGGCAGGATAGACATCAAAATCTGGTTGTGTGGACTGTCTCCTTAGCAGTTCTTCGTGCCTGTAAGGTAAGACAGGTACGGTGCCCAGCAGTGCTAGAGACGCCAATCAGGTACAAGCTCCAAACCATCCCAAAGGCAACCGTCCTGCAATTCACCTTTTTATTATTCACCAGTTCCATCTTGCCATCAACCCTCTCCCAACCTTACTCATTCTGTGACTTCGGACAAGAAAGTTGACATCCAAAGATGCTTGCTTACAGCCACAATTACAATGAAGTTATAGAGAATCTCTGTAACTCTGGTATGATAGAATAGACCCTGTTCCACAATGCTTTCTGACTTTCAATTTTCAGTCCAGATTCCTTTCAAATCATTCTTAACATTGATGGTGTCCCTGAGCCCATCTATTTCTCTTTAAAATCAAGTCCCTGTGTTGCTTGAAACCTAGTTGCTTTTTTCCTAGAAGCATTTCACTAATGCATCATTTTCCATTCCGCAGATTTCTTCTGTGACGTGGTCTCTTTTGACTACAGCACAGAAATCACACTACTGTCTTCTAATTTTCTGGATGACTTCCTCCTTTGCATTCCATCCTTTTCAGTCTATCTATCCAACCAAATCCTTCTTCCACAGATCACCTCCCCTGCTAACAGTAGCCTCCCCCTTAAGACTTTTTTTTGAGATTTGTTCATCAGCATCAGATTGGTACGAGGCTCTTAAGTAGACTTCTTTCTGTCATAAGGTTGGTCTGCTTAGTCTTGTTTGTTTGTTTTCAAGACAAGGTTTCTCTGTGTCATCTTGGCTGTCCTGAACTCACTTTGTAGACCAGGCTGGCCTCACAGAGATCCGCCTTCTGCCTCCCAGAGTGCTGAGATCACAGGCATCTGAGGTGATCAGCCAAATTTTATCTTAAAAACCCATGTACCTTTCCCCTGGTACCTACACTACCACGGTTTTGGAAAATAGATGTAGGAATAGCATACTCTTAATGTAAGACCAGCAGTAGAATTATAGCAGTTTGGCATTAAGCAGTCACTTTCTTTTTATAAAAAAGGAAGCATGTATTGTGGTAATCATACCAAGCATACTTCAGCATATCAATGAGGTATACTTTAAAGAAATTCATTGACACCAATTTAATTGTTATGGAATTGTGTGTGTTTGAGTGCACTCACCGTGTGTGTGTGTGTGTGTGTGTGTGTGTGTGTGTGTGTAAGCCACAGGTCAACACTGTCTTCCTCAATTGCTCTTCACCTTCTTGAAAGTTGCTCTTAATGAAGTTGAAGCTTGCTGTTTCGGCTAAATTGGCTGGCTAATTTCTGGGAACCAACCTACTTCTGATCCTCAACACCCCAGCACTGGAATTACAGACATGCAACACAGTGTGTGGCTTTTCCTACACGGACACTAAGAATCAAAGTGGAGATTCTCACACCTGCACAGCCAGCACTCCACCCAGCGAACCACCTCCTTCCTCTATATATTAAAACAAAAACAATTTAACATGCTGTAATAGCACTACCATCTGCAGTTTACAATATTAAGGTGAAAGACTTAAAAATAATGACACCAAGAATCTTTGCAAATGCTAGTTTTCTAAGTTCCCCGCACTTCAGGGCTATTCCCACACTCTTGGTTATCACACAACTATGAGGTCCATTCTTTTAACCTCCAACTCTCTACCCAGTTGTTAAGATGGCACTTCATATAGCAAAGCAAAGGCAAAGTAAGATATAGCCTACTGCTCTATTAAGTGTTTTGAGGGACAAAGAATATTGATAATGAGCCTCTGCTCATGCTAAAAGTGGCTATATTCCTAAAACCCAGATATAACATCAGAGATTAATTGGATAGTTGTCAGAAAATTTACCTCGAATAGTTATTTTAAGCTGCACTAACCCTGTGAACATTCTGTGGTTCTGGACTAAGCTCGAAGCCAGCTGCATGCTGAATACATCAGTATACCAATATCAGGTTATTACAAATATAAGCTACATGTGCATGGAGAAACCTTTAATGGGAACAAAGCCAACTATTCAAGAAACTGGAAAGTAAAGCTTCTATCAGACATGTTTTGGTAGGTACAGTTCTGGGCAGATCCTGACCTACCGCTTCAGCTATGCTAACCTGGTCTGCGTTGTGGTAATACTAGAAAAGATGGTTAGTGTAGTGACATTTCTTTAGTAACTTTAGGGTACTCACTAAATTCACACTATGTTTTAGGCACTACATTAAGCTCCCCCCCCCCCGCCCCCCACCAGATCCCAACACAAGGTTTCTCTGAGTAGCCCTGGCTGGCCTGGAACTCTCAAACTCCATGGTCCACCTGCTGTGTGCCTCCATGCCTGGCTATTTACTTCTCTTTTGAGACAGTCATTCTGTGTAGCTCTGGCTGTCCTGGAGCTCTGTAGACCAGGATGCCTCCTGCATGCTTGGGATTAAAGGAAGGTATCACCACCCTGCTTCTTTGTAAGGCTTTTAGTGTGTACACATCCCAAGTATCACAAAAGTAAAAGAAACACTCTACCATTGAGTTACAGCTCTAGTCCTTTTTACAAAGATTCTTCCATCTAGTCTTCTAAGTGTCCCTCCTTTACAAATCAAAAGAATGAACTGAAAGGCTACAGAAGGTATTTGATGTAAAGATCTAAAACTGGAAAGCCTAGACTATCCCCACCTGTGCTGTGAACCAAACAAGGCCTTGTACACCCTGGGCCCCCAAGGAGTATTTATACTTAAGACAGACAGCCTTAATACATTAGGGATGGGTTTAGTTTTGTTTTTTCCTTGTTGACTACGGATATTTTGAAACATGTAGGTTAGAACTTGTCTGGAAAGATAAACTTTTTCCCCCCAACGGTTGCAATCAGATCCTTGTTTCCAAATAGAACCCTCCTCACAAATTCAAATTCCTTATCACTTAGTACTAAAGCTATAGTAACTACAGATCTTTGTCTATTAGGTTGAATCCTGTTTCTGATTTGAATTTGTTGAGTAGGTGACTTGAAATCTTAGGCTAATAACGGTAAGAACCATGTAAATCTATCTTCTTATTTTATCAAATAGAAAAGGGTTTCTTAAGCAGGTACTCAACTCAGTCAACAAAATAAAGCCAAGAAGGATGAAGTCATACACTTTTATTCCCAATTTGCTTTCAACACTTTGGATATAAGAAAATGTATTACAAAATAAACATTCTGTGGTCTTAGTAAACTGTCTTCAACATTATGTTACAAAAATACCTTTGGCAGAATATAAAAATAAGTACCTCAGCTTAAAGAAACAACTGAAGCAGGGCTGCCACATTCCCAGTCAGTATAATTTTCAAAGAAAGTGTACCTGATATATTCTTACAGCCACATAGTTAAATGAATTTAGATAAGGACCAGCTGTGAATGGCCAAAAGAGTTAATTTCACTTAAGCAAAAGAGAATCTATGTTTTTACAGAAAAGCAGTATTTTTGTTTCTCAGACCAGCCGTCCTGTCGGCCATTGTTGGCAGACACTGCCATCTGGTGGTCATTTCTTGCGAAGAGCATCTCCTATAGGTCTGCTCAGGGATGTCAGTCACTATCACTGAATTAGAACACGCCTGAGGAATGTTTGTTATTTTCTTTCCTGTATTAAACACTTGTTAATACTGAGGTAGGAACACATTCTGGAGCCATGCATACAAGGAAATGGGAAAGAACCTTTCAGTCTTCATTCCCTCTTACTCTCTGCTCAAACCTGGGGAAGGGCTGCCAAATATAAAAATCCTGGTAGGACCACGTCAAGTTTCCTAACCTATGACCACACACAGGCAATGGAGACAGCATCAAACAGGCTGAAGTCTGACTAATCACCCACTGCTGACTTACCCTGACTAAACAGAAGGCACTCAGTTCACTCCAGTGGCCAAGTGTGTGCTGTCTCACAGAATTCTAAAACCAATGCACTGATACAGCAAAACCCAACATGATCAACTGAAGAGAGGAAGACAGTACTACAGCTTGGTCTATTAATTACACGTATAGCCAGGACCTGAAGCCATAAAATAGAAATGATTCCAACAGTTTGCAGATATTGCTAATAAAGTTTTTTTATTCAAACTTTCAAACCCATGTTATTTTAGACTTTAGTTATCTGAAGAACTTAAAAAAAAAAAACAAAAAAAAACCAGAATGCTTAGCGGAATTACTATTAATTACTCATGAGTCAAATTTATAGTCTAAGAGGGATTTATTTCTATAAATACTGACTTTGATCCAAAAAGGAGCAACATCCTGGCTCAAAGTAGAATTACAGTGTTTAAAAAAAAAAAAAAAAAAAAAATTCAGAAACATATTAATCTCCCCAAAAGCTGGCTGCTTCCAAACTCGATTTAATATTCTGCATGTTTTCCCTCCGCTGCTTGGTAAACACGTTGGCTTCTCCTTTCTGCAGCCGGCGTCTGGCAGCTGACCTCTGCTGCCTTGTCAGCTGACGTTTCACCTTCTGCTTCACAAGTTCCTGGAAAGATTTTGTAAATTAGTATTACTGATAATCATTTTGATAAAAAGCAGAAAAATCATTAAAACAAAGATTTACATTGCTAATACATTTCAAATTTGCATGCTGAGAATGAATTTTTAAGGCCCTAGTGACACCATGTGAACTAGCAGATAAACTAGAAGCTTTTATACAAATTAAAAATGTATATTCCTTGCAGAAATACACAATAGTTGAACGTACAGATCACCATAGCGCCACCTAGTTATCACCATGAACACTGAGGAGAAAAACAAGGTGAAATAGTTCTTCTTTCTCGGTGAAAGACATTTTTATTTTTTTGCTTGTTTATTCGTTCATTCATTCATTTATTTTTGAAACAAAGTCTCATGTAGCCTGGGTGCCCTTAAACTGGAATGTAGCCAGATTAAGCTTGATCTTCTAATCCTCCTGCCTTCGCCAACTAATGCTGGAATCATATAACAACATCTTGTTTGTGGTACTAGTTATTGAAAACAGGACTGAGGGCAGCAGTCACTCATGGGAAGTCTTCACAGGATTTTCTAGAGATGCAGAACATTGTTTCATAGCTGACAAGTAAAAATCCAAGTCACTAATTAAATGCCATCTGTACAAATCATGACTGAAAAGACTGAAACTTTTTTTGGGAATATTCAGTTCAGAACGACCTTTTCTTTTTCTATAGGCCCAATTCAGAACAATATACAAATCCTACAAGGTAATTTTTTTAAACAAGAAAAACCTGGATACAACATGAAGTAAAATATGTTGTTTTAACAAGTATAAAAAAATGATTAAAACCATCACATGTGTTGTTAAAAGTAAAAACATTCTCCCATTAGAAACAGCCACATGTATATGTATTAAAAGGCATCATACCTTAATTACTTGATTCTGTTACAAGTTCTCAAGAACAGAATTTACAAATGATTAGTGGCCGTGTTGGGTTTAGCATTCAGAAGAACCTAGATTTGACCTCTAGCAATGCAAATGGCCAATAAATAGGTAGATAAAAGAGAATGAAAGAGGAACAGATTTTATAGTTAATTTCAAGGAACTCCCTTTTGTCTTGTATAAATTCCAAAATTTCAAGCCCATTGAGCTAACAGTTTTCCTCTCGTCATTTTATTTTAACAAAATAAAAGGAAAACAGTACGAGAAAAATTTCCTCAGAAGTTGGGTGTACAACTTGTAATCCTAGCTGTTGAGAGGCAGAAGCATGAGGATCAAGAGCAAAGGAAAGGGTGTTGATTAGGGAGGGAAGAGAACTGGGAAGGATCTGGGGTGAGAGAAAACTGCCCTACAAAGATGTAGCTGATGGGCAGCCGAGGCATCCTATGCGTCAAGTAAGGGAAGCTGAGACTGCATCTGACACAGAGTGTCTTGCACCTTTTTGATTGGCCTCTGGCAGGACTGCTTGTCAGGCCACAGAGGAAGAGGACATACTCAGTCCTGATTCGACTTGATGAGCTGGGGGTAGATAGGAAGGAGAGCTCCCCTTTTCTGAGGAAAAGGGGAGGAGTGAAGGAGGGAGGGTGGGACTGGGAGGTGAGGAGGGATGGGACTACAACCAGGATGTAAAGTGAATGAATGAATGAATGAATAAATACATAAATTTTAATTTAAAAAATAGAATGTTGAGGCCAGCCTTGTCTGCACAAAAATATTGTTCATGGAGTTAGGCTGAGAGTCTTATCACTTTCTTAGAACACAGGCACATATATTACAATTCACATAGCTCACGACAAAAGACTTGAAGACTATGATACCATCACACATTTTTAAGACCAGCCTTTGGCCATGAGAGCTTGATAAAGAGAAAAGAACCAGAGAGCTTAATGCCTATTTAAACAGGCACAACAAGATTTATGTGAACCTCATGGAAGGCAGCACAAATTAGAACTGGGAGAGGGACACAGGTGGGGAAGAAGGAGGTTGGGATTGGGAGGGGAGGTGGGAGAGAGGTACAGGGGGGATACAAAGTGAATAAACTGTAATTAATAAAATAAAAAAAGAAAAATCCATAATATAAAAAAAAAATTGAAGAATGGTTGAGCATAGTGGCACATACTTTTAATCCCAGCATACTGGAGGCAGAGGCAGGCAGATCTCTGTGAGTTCCAGGCCAGCCTGGTCTACAAAGCAAGTTCAGGACAGCCAAGGCTACACAGAGAAAACTTGTCTCGAACAATCCTCCATTCCCCCCCAAAATAAATAAAATTAAAGACTGAATCACATTGGAAACTGCAAAATTCCCATCTGGATCCAAAATATGTAACATTTTATCCCTCAAATTCAAACTAATTTATTTGATGCCCTATCCTTGGAAGCTTTGCTTATTCCTGGCAAAGTGAAACCTCTTGCTTCTTACTAACTTGTGCATGCTGATAACTCTCTAACATTAACATGAGATCCAAATATCTAAGACTGTACCCAAGCTTACTACTCTATCCACAGCCCTGGTCCAAACAGGTGGCACAAGTGTATACTTACTGGAGGAATTGTTGAACAGCTTAGGATACTGCCTGTAGATGCAATACTCAAGGTTCTTGTTCTGTGCTGAGTAACACTCCTCATACTGTCTTCATCTCTATAATAAAATTTAAGAAATACAGTTTATCTTGTGAAACTACATGGAATTCAGTCCACTATATTAACATCCACAGAATGTTCTGGAAAAAAATTCACCACTTTCCAAAGAGAATGATTTATAACTGAAATGTGTCCATTTCCCTACAGCTCATTTGTGTTTATCACTAAATTATACAAATATCTCAGTTGTTTCTTTCTTGCCACCTTCTGAACAAAAGCAGACATAGTACAGAGAGATACAATATTGTCATCCTCTTTCTGAGACAGGGTCTCATTTGTAGCCAAGGCTGATGCTCCTGCCTCAGGCTTCCAGGCCCCAACTGCTAATGCAAGGATTTAGTGTACACCATGATGCTCATCCAGAGACAGCTCTCTGAAACTGCACTGTGAGTCTGTTGAAAACCACAATCATAGATATATCTATGCTTTTAGTGCTCAATATTTTAATAGAAACAATGCATAAGAACTCAGAAAACATTAACTTCTAATAGCCATCATTTTTCTGAAAATCTATTTTTTTAAAAATTTCATTTATTTGCCTTTGTGTGTGAATGGCCCATGCCACAATGTACAAGTGGAGATCAGAGAACAATTTACAGGGGTCAGTCAGTTCTTCCTTCTACCATGTGGGTCCTGAGAATCGAACTTGGGTCAGGCTAGATACAAGTGACTTGATCTGCTGAACCATTTCCCTGGCCCTGCAACTTCTATTTTGCTTCTATATTCTCTGTTTACATGACTACTTAAGAAATAAAAATTTACAGTATTTTTTGAGTAAGAACAAATCATTAACCGCATTTCTGCTTATAATACTATTAACCCTATATAGTTTTTTGCTAGACAGTATTCAAGGTATATACCTGAAAAGGTGCTTCTGAATTGGTAAACTGAGTAAAGCAAACTGTCCTCCCAATGTGAGTAGGTGTGAAATCTGAAATATACTGGCAAAGTAAGAGAATCCCCTCTGCCCGTATTTAAGCCAGGACATAAATACTCTTCTGTCTCTTGAACCAGGTTAGTGCTGAGTTAGTGCTGTCCCTGAGTTTCCAGCTCACTGTAGACCTGGCAGTTCAGTTTACAGGGATTCAAAGGCAAGGTCGTCATAAAGCCAATCCTAGGCTTAACATGGCTGATTTTATAAATTTTCAACTTTTTAAAGGTATGAAAGTGTTAGTACATTTGCTAAAAACCATACTTTGATCTCCTCTAGGGTTGTTGCTAAATGGTACTGATATCCTTGAGACACTGGAAAACAGTCACTGGAGATCTTACTATGCAATCATATGGGCAAATGGCATACTTTACATATTTTTGTTTCTAAGCTATATTTGGCAAACACATTTTTAATTTTCCTTCAAATCATTAACACGTTATTAGGATGAGTCCAGAGTAAGTAGGAGTATCCTTAATAAATTTCCTATTGATTCTATTTGGTCTAGACAACATGGACCAAACGAGATAAAAATCTGGTATCACAGCAAACTCTTCCACTAGCTGACTTTTTCTTATCCTTCTGCTTTAATTTTCCAAGTTTATAAATGGCAGTCACCCACACAGACCTATGTGGAAAAGGAACACAATTCTCACATTTTACTTCAGAAACAAAATTGCAAAAATAAAGGTGTCCTTAAGACGCACAGATTTAACAGGTTTGAAGGAGGACCTGGAGGTGGCAATTTTGGAGCTACCCTGGTTATGAAAATGGAAATAGTGCTGAACCTAAACACAGAAACTGGAGCAGGTACTATGAATTAGTTATGACAACTGTGGAGGAGGAAGCTATGGGGTTTGGACATCATAAACAGTAACTGTGAAGATGGTTTAATGAACATTTGAATATTTGGTGGTAGCAGGGACACCAGGTGATCACATGGGAGGAAATGGGGATTATGGTGAAGGCCTAATACACAGAGCTTCTTACTTGCCATGGGTTCACCTGTAGAAACAGAAGAGGACAAAAGTCCAGAGGAACAAAGCTGCCTCTAGTTATCAAAATAGAAATGTTAAGGAAGTTTCTATCTCAATCATACATAGATATGCAGCGATATGACAGAAGACAGCAGAGCAGACACAGAGAGCCATTTCGTGAATGGGTTAGATTATTTAATAATTACCTTTCTGTGGAGGAAAGAATGAGTCAGTTTCTTAGCTTCTTAATTTTCTGTCTAGTGTCTTTTGTAAGAGTGTAGAAAGAAGAGTTTCTTTTTTGGTAATGTTAAGGTTACAGATGTCAGGTGAATGAAACTTTTTAAAGATGTTTGTCAAGGTTTTGAAAAGTATTAGTTGGGATCATGATATAAAAAGCAAAGTTTTTCTTTTTTAAAAATTAATTTAATACAGTAATTCTAAAAGACTAGGGGTGTACCCCTGAACATGCACTGGAAAATGCTTAACAATGCTCTGCTAATCCAGTTTTGTCAGATTAATTTTTGAAATAAATAAAATCACTATTGCAGCAAACTATTGTTTGCTTCTGGATAAACTATCCCAAACCTAAAAATTAGATTTCAGGACTTTTGCTAATTTAAGTTCAGCTTAACAACATTTCAACACAAAAAAAATTCTTATATCGTAATACTATTATGTGGCTTTAAGTACACATTAAAAAACAAAATAAAACAAACAAACAAACAAACAAATCAATAAAAGGCCCAAAGCACCAGGTAGTGGTGACACACTCCTTTAATCCCAGCACTCAGGCACACAGAGGCAGGTGGATCTCATAAATTTTGAGGCTAGCCTTATCTACAGAGTGAATTCTAGAACAACTAAGGCTACACAGGGAAACCCTGCCTCAACAACAACAAAACCCCCAAAACAAAAAGAACTAAAGCACCAAGAAATAGTCTCAGTGGGTAATTCACACAGAAATCACGTTCACTGAATGCAAGTCTCACATACATACACACCTCTTCGTAGTTTAAACACACATTAGGTACATTCATGAAACAGAACACTTTACCCTGTCTAAAAACAGATCTGCTTACCAGACCTACGATAGTTCTACTAAGTGGTCATCAGTTTTACATTAAGGTAGATTTCTGTAAAATTTAGTCAATAGAGTATGGTAATCAGACCAACTGAAAATACAAATTTGTTTCAATATAAAAAGTTAACTTTCATTTTTATACAAAATGATGGCATAACACAATTATGTCATATCATTTGTTCTTTTTCTAATATCCCTCCATCAAAAACAAGATTAAAGGTAAAAAACCAACAAAAATCTATACCTGAAAGGCCTGAACTCCTTGTTCAATGACGACAAGGCAATCAGGTGGGGGCATTCATCCTCACACTCTTCACAGTCGGTAGGGCTTCTCCACTGACCTGACTGGCCATCATGTCTGATATCACTTTCAGTTCCATTGCTCTCCTCAGAAAACCCAGTGACAGACCTATGTGTAAGAACCTGCCTTTTCATTTCGTCTAAGGCTTCATTTAAGTCAGTCATTTCAAAACTGGGCACATCAGCACTCTCCTCTGGTAAACAGACTTCCTTTACTTGGTTGTTGTCTGCAGATACACAACAGGAACCATCTGATTCATCTACTGGGTTCTGTTCATTCTCCATTTCTGACCTCCAGACTTTGGCTTTTTCGAACATCTCCTCATCAGAAGAGGAGAAGTCAGATTCCTCTTCTGTTTCAGTAACTTTATCATCTGGACCTACAGGATGTAGCAGTTCATCATCTGCTTGCATTTCCTTTGTGTAACCACTGGCAGAGACCTCAACATCAAGAGAATCCTCCCTCCTATGGAATGAAGGTATTAGCATTGAATAAAACAGAAAAAACAAAACAAAACAAAACAGCAGCACTCTAATACATGATAAATTTGAAGTGAGTTCAATCGTCCTTCTGTAATTTAATTTTAAACACATTATTTAAATTACTTAACTATGCAAATAAAGATTTTTGAAGAATAAAACGACTAAAAAGCAACACAATAATACAAAGAGTACAGAAACCAGTTGACTTTTAATTTGGTAAATTAACTTTCAGAAAAGGGCTAAAGATTACTTTTGTAAAAACACTACACAGAAAAACCCGACTCAAAAACAAAAACAAAAACAAAAAAACAAAAAAATCTCAAAACAGTAAATATCTTAAGTATATATAAACCAATAGATAAAAATTAACCCTGGAAATGTACATAATTTGAACCCACTATGGCTGGGCTGCAGCCACAGCTCCGGGATCTCTCTTCTAGCCTCTGCGCACTTGCGCTTACGTGCACATACGCATGTGCTGATTAGTGTTTAACACAGACTAGAATCATATGGGAGGGGGAACCCAACTGAGAAAATGTCCCCACCACACTGGCCTAAAGGCCAGCCTGTGGGCAGTTTCCTAACTCTGTGTGATGTGAGTCCATCTCACTGCGGGTAGTGCCACCTCCTCCAAAGTTTAAGAAGGTAAACTGAGCAAGCCACGGGAGAGCAAGGCAATAGGCAGAACTCCTCCCCGGCTTCTCTTCAGTTCCTGCCTTGGTTTCTCTGATGATGGACTGTAACCTGTGAGCCAAATAAACCTTTACACCCGAGCTGATTTTGATCATGGTGTTTCATCACAACAACTGGAACCCTAACTAAGACACAGAAATACTAATAATAAAAAATAAAATCTTTGGTACCATACGCCTGTAATCCCAGCACTCGCAGAGGCAGGCAGCTCTCTGAGCTTGCGGCCAGCCTGGTCTACATAGTGAGCCCAGAACAGCCAAGGCTACACAGAGAAACCCTGCCTAAAAAAACAACAACCAACCAAAAAAAAAAAACAAAACAAACAAACCAACAAACCACCTAAAAGACATGGAGAACACTAATTCCTTAAGATTTGATACTTATTTTTCTTAAAAATGGGTTATGAACATTTGATACAGCATTCAAAACTCAAAGATGTTGAGTTAAAAAAAATAAATTCAACACTCAAAAGTTCAACTGTTGTATTTTAACATACTGACAGTAAGTACTTTCAAATCTTCAAGTTTCATTCATGTACGGTACAGTGGTGATATTCAATAGCAATTGTATCTGGACGTTATTTCAGGTGAAAGAATTAATTTTAGAATTAAGCTAATACTGACCTGATGTCACTAAAGGTTGGGTAGAGCTCACTTTCATAGCCAAAACGTTTCATGAAGAACTCTCTAATGCATTTAACATCTCTGTCAAAATACCTGTAAAAGTAAACATTCATTTTTAATTTTTTTGGTCTACTCTTCATTTATCTACTCTATACAGGATGACGCATATCCTCCCCATGTATTTACTTCTGAACAAACTTTGTTCTTAAAACTCAGACTTCTTCTTAAATTCCCGTTTAAACAAATGGCTACATGGCTAAGAAGGCTTGACTTGAATATTATGTGCAAATTCTTTTAATGTTCTCTACATTGTAGTTTATATATAAATAAGATAAATGAACAGTCAGTTTCATTTAGATTTCCAATACACAGGATAAGCATAATGATTAGGTTTAAAATTGGGTCTAGAGCTGGAGAAATGGCTCAGGTTAAAAACACTCGCTGTTCTTCCAAAGGTCCTGAGTTCAATTCCCAGCAACCACATGGTGGCTCATAACCATCTATAGTAAGATCTGTTGTGCAGGCAGAAAGTTGTATAAATAATAAATAAATCTTAAAAAAAAAAAAGGGTCTAAGTTTATTTTTTTTTCTTTAAAGATTTTTCTCGAAGGGAAAATTCTAGTAGCTAGATATCTTTTAATCAAAAAACAAAACTCTTGTCACTGAAACCATTTATTGATCCCAATAGAAAACTGGAACATTATGAATAAAAAAATGATTCTATGATATACAAACAAATCCACAACTAGAATCAGTTTTAATGTATACCATTCAGCATTCGGGTGGGAAGTGGAAACCATCTGTGGAAAATCAATCATGGTGATGTGGTCATCTTTATCCAACATGAGATTGAATTCATTGAAATCTCCATGAATCAGTCCATGATTTCCCAGCTTGACTATTAGTTCCATAGCTTCATCATACACAGATGCAGGGTCTTCAACATGATGTATCTGACACCTCAAAGTAGGAATAGGTTATTTGTGCATGTTCATTATTTGAATGAGTATAAAAATGTACCTGTGTCATTTCCATTCCTAATCTTCCCAGTTTCCTCTTGTCAGATAGGTGCCCCACCTATTAAAAGGTCACACCCTGCTCCTATCCTGTCTGCTTTTCACTCTCACCTCCCTTCTATCTTCCTTACAGATCATCTTTTTACATCGGCTTTTTCTAATTTCACTCATTCTACTTTCAACAGACTTCCTTCCACCTTATTTAAACAAAATGGTTCAAGACTTAGTTCTTCTATGCTGCTAAATTTAACTTTAGTCATTTCCAGTCAGTCAACTTTTCTCTTCTTGAAATAATTACTTCACTTTAATTATAAGGCACTATGCCTTTCAGATTTTCTTTCCTCACCATTATCAATTTCCCACTTCTTTCACATCCAAATCCAATCCTGAATAACTCATGTTGCTACCTGTGGATATGACTGTCACTGACCAAGAGCTATTACCATCTCTTGCCTGGACTGCTTTAAGTTTCCTAACTTATCTTCCCTGATTATTTCTCAAATCTCACTGATCACATCTCCCCCTCTTCTGCCCCATCCCACCTTAGTCACTATGCTCTTAATACTGCTTTGTTCTCTTTCCAACCATGGCTGTGAACACCCAAGAACCAATGCCTTTCCTTTAACTGGAAAATTGCTTTGGCTAATTTCCTAAGATTTCACTCTGTGAATGGTACTTTCCTGACTATATTACATTAAATAGCAATCTCCTACCTCTAGCCTCTTCATTGACTTTTACCAATAGCATTTATTGATATAATAAATATACTATGTTCAGTTCGAGGGCACGAACTGTTTTGTTCACCGCTGAACAAAACAGATTCATAAATACTGAACAAATGGTAGTTATTATAAACTGAACGAAACTGAGTTTTCAACTCATTTTTGTAAATCTCTTTAGAAATTTGTAACCTCTCAGAAACGTTTTATTTAAAAAACACAAACCTTGAATTTATTTGTCAGGACCTAAGCTTTCAAGCTTAATGAATACTTACAGGGGATAACCATTGATAAGCTCCATAATCACTGCATGGCGATTGTAATCAACCGGCTTTGGAACTGGAAATTTCCTCTCATATAATGCCTAAAACAGAAAATATGAGAAGTTAATACAATCATGCTGTTAAAAAAAAAAAAAAAAAAAAAAAAAAAAAAAGACTGTATCTTCCTAAAACAAGGCTTTGCAAAATTTTAGTCAACCTGAGGGTATTTAATGCATGGATGCACGGTTTACTTACTTCAAGAATTAGCTATACATAAATGTAAGTGTAAGATTGCTTGAATTACCTTTCCCTTTTAAAATGTACAATCACTGTGAATGTAAAAAGTCTTGAGTCCCTTAGGATATTTCCTTTCTATTTTTTAAGTTTCTGTCACTTGTTGGTATGTGCTTACGATACTGAACTAAAAACAAATCTTGTTTTGGGTTTCCCGGCCTAAGAAGTCGGTCGTCTTCAAGGCCAGGCCGTTTAGTCTGTAAATCACTGACGCTGCTCTTCAGAGTACAATGCATGATGCCAGCACGTGACAAGCACACACAGCATGGTGATCTGAGCCAGATGTTACTTTCGACCATTCACACATCTTCCCCTGACATCTGGAAGGCCAGCATGTCTACTGGGCATTCGTCACGTATGCATGACTATCCTACTAATGCTCAATCTCCTGCCATCATACCTTACCTATAGGCTGGGATAAGACCATTGCTATGCCAATCATAATTTAAAATTATATACAATGGATTATTTCAGTCTGAACCACTTCTGTACTTTTGTTGACCAATTTCCAAAATTCTCTTTAATTCAAATGTCTAGTACAGGTATAGTGCAACTCTCAATCCACAGCTTAATCTTTATCTTATTCTTTTTGTCTTGGGAAAATATCAATGCATTTAAGGCGAGTACTATGTGCAGCCAGGATCTCTCTGTACCCTCAATGGGAACACACTTAAAAAGCAACCACTATAGTTTGGAGGAAATGGTTTCTGGTAAAATGCTTCCTTATAGTATAAAAGTGTGTAACATATAATATCAGAATTGCTTATTATACTGCTTTAAGAAATTCTCTTGCCACTATTAACAATTTAACTGCCAGATTAAATAAACTACTCAAAAGGAAATAAGCTGAGTTCCTAAGAAGCAGCTGCTTCCACACTATAGTACTTCTCACTAACTATTTTTTTTTTTTTTTTTTCTGTTGTGTGGGAAATCAAACAGCAATCCAAAGATAACCTAGGTCACTGAGACGGCCCAGTGGGTAAAGGTGCCTAATGACTTGCATTCCATCCCAAAAATCCTCATGGTGGGGAAAAAATAAAAAATAAAATAAGTGAATCCTGCAAGTTGCATACATACACACACAAGTAAAAAAGAGGAAGACAATGCAGCCAGTCCTAATGAGACCTGATAGGCTAGGGTCAGATGGAAGGGTAAGAGGACCTCCCCTATCAGTGGACTTGGGGAGGAGCATGGGAGGAGATGAGGGAGGAAAGATGGAATTGGGAGGGAATGAAGGAGGGAGCTACAGCTGGGATGCAAAGTGAATTAACTATAATTAATATAAAAAATTTAAAAAAGTAAAAGCAAAAACTAAAAACAATGAAGTATGTCATTTTGTTAAATTCAGTTGTAAAACACCATGATTTCCAGATACCATTTTCAATAAGACATTTATGGAGCCACACACATACATTTGCATAACAATAAAACGCCTTCATAAAGAAGAAGCCATAAGAGGAAGCCACAGGAAAAGAGTATAATCAAGAGTTCAAGTTGACTGTAGGGACTGAGTCAGGGGGAAGAAAGATGCTTATCATTAAGGTTTTTATAATGTTTGGTTAAAATGAATTACAGTTATCTTTTTTTTTTTTTTTGAGAAATGTAAAACCATGAAAAAATACCTTCATATAGGCAAATTCCTTCATGGCAGAGAGACGAGATAAATAAAGCCAAGATACATTATGCCTGTGCTTATGGTAATCACGCTTGTTTTTCAGATTTCGAAAGGAGGTTCTTCCAAGTCTGTGAAGCTTCAGTGCAAACTGCTGCCCTTCTTCATTTGCAACAATGTAAATATCTAGAGCAAAAATTGTAAACGTTAGGATTTGTTAGCATTGTTAGGATACTTCTGCTGCAATGGGTTAAACAGATCCAACTTTTATCTGCCTTCATCTGTATCTACTGTCTTTCCTACTAGTAATGCTTCTTTGACAAAACACTTTAGATCCTAAGGACAACCCAGAACGTGTTTATATGTAACTATAAAAGAAAAAGGGTACTTTTTCTTTCAAAGATGTTCAATGCTTACATTTATCATTATGTAAAAACAATCACTCAATTCATTAAGAAAGCATTTCTAGTGAAAAAAGTGACCTCCCCTGCACCCTCTCTGTGCTAGGGATCCAACACAGGCTTTGCATATAACAGGCCAGCGTTCTATCATGAGATTACACCCTCAATCCAAGAGGAGCAATTTAACACCTTCTGTTCCAACATGTTCAATTCAATTGCTTTGATGACCAATAAGCCTTCTTAATAAGTACCTTGCCAACTATAATAGTTCTTCTTCTTTTTTCTTTCCCAGAGACAGGGTTTCTCTGTATAACCACCCTGGCTGTCATGGAACTCTGTAGACCAGGCTGGCCTTAAACTCACAGAGATCCACCTACCTCTGCCCCAAGTGCTGGGATCAAAGGCACGCACCACTACGCCTGGCTGAAGTTAACTGTAATGTTGATATTTAAAACAAGTTCTAAGGGCTGTAAGAAATTTTAATATTTTTATTATAAACAGGCTACCATCTTATTGAGAGAATATAAATCAGTACATATTTTTGAAACTTGGTAACATCAAAATCTATATACCTTTTTTTTTTTACTCTGATTTAGACTAAATTGTGCTCCTCAAAATTTCCCACACCAAAGCACTAAATTTTAATCTATCTAAAGATAGGGACTTTCACTTCCACTCACGACTAAGAAGGAATGAAACTCTTATGAAACTGCTCAGAAACTGGTAAAAATCACTGCAGAGTCACCCTCCACTATAGCACTGTACAATTATGAAAAACCCTGGGTAGGTATCAGCAAGAGCGAAAAGCAGACAAAAATGAAAGGATAAGATCCAGAGTAAGCTTATTTCCACTCTTCGTTACAATTGTATGTAAACATAAAAAGAATCCTGAATACATATAAATGCAGTTGTATTTACATTGAGAATTTCTCAGATTAAGTACGAAATAATCTTAGCTATAGGATATAATCAACAGAAAATTAACTGAATTGTGTATCTGAAATAAGACTAGATTTTATTATACTTTCTATTTTTGTATTGTTAATGCTCACCATTTTACCATTCAATTAGTTTCTTAAAAATTAAAAAATACTTTAACTAGAATCTGTTTCCTAAGGATTTAGATGTCATGTAATTGAAGTATTTACAATAGTTAATTCATAATTTAAATTTAAATAACTGAATGCAAAAGCAATCAACAGGAAGGTTACGCTACCTAAAAGGACTATTTACTGTGCGTATACATTCATATTCATGTGCAAATGGTCTCCCCTCCAACTCAGAATTTTATCTAGCATTATATGTAACATAGCTTAGATAGAAACACAGAAGGCACTCAACCATATAAAATTCCACAGCAACCCTTTTGGGGTAGGTTTCTTAATAATTATCTTATTTCCAAGTTAAATTGTGCTTCCTCAGTTTAGACAATATAAATCATAGATAGGAAAAACTACACAGGACAAAAACTGTATAAAGCCACAATTCAAAAAGAATCATCTCCTATTCTCTATTCCTGTCTTCCACAGAGGAAGTAAATGAATATACAATTATTTGTTCAATGATATTTTAAAATGCTTTTAGTTCTGGGTGGCTGTGAGAGAAAAATGTGCCCAGGGTATTGATATTTACTATAGCTTCCATTACTTTCTTTTGGTGTATGTTTTTAATTACTATAAATACGTAAGTTAGCAGATATAAAATAAGAGCAAATATAGTTTTTGCCAAAGATTTAAAATATTAGAAGAAAATTAAGGCCTGGAATACAGCTGAGTGGTAAATCATGTGCTAGCATAAATGAACCCTGGGTTTATTCCAGAGCACCAAAGTGGGGAGAAAACAAAACAAAACAAAACAAAAACCCAAAACAAATGGAAATTAATTCTTGGTATTGGTGAAATGATAGACTTATGGAGGTAAGTACACCTACTAAATTACTGTTAATAAATATAACAAACTATGTTCCTAATCTAAATTACTTACAGCCAACTTTCTGGCTTACTATTTTGTTGCACTATGAAACAAAAAGAAAGACTGCTTTCTCAAAGTAAAATAAAAACTTAAGCAAAGTCAAAGGTTTCAACAATACTATTAGTACATACCTGACTCTTTGCCAACACCCATCTGGTTTCCAACAGACTCAATTACCTGTCTAGAAGACAGTGTTTTCAAAGCTAAGTAATCATACCCAGCATTTGTCAACCGATAGCCCTGGACAGCTAGACAAAAATTAGGTAAGAACATTATTTATTTATACCGTAGCAATTAACACACATCAACATAAATCAAACATTTAAAGACTGGAAGTCTTAGGTGAGAATGATGACTTACCCTAGCTCCCAATTTCTTCTCTATTATAGAACTACTTATAGTGTGATTCATGTATGGACACCAGTTTGAGAGTCTGTGACAAGATACACACACGAACTGAAAGTATTTAAGTTCAAAATGTTTTATATTAATTTGACCCTGATTTATGCCTGTTTTGGTATATAACCATTATCCTCTTTGCTTTTCCCAAACTGCTTTCTCTTATGTTTATTAAGATCTTCAACAGGCCAGCCCTCACCACAGATGGCTTAGGAAGCCGTGCTCTAGAGTCCTGTGACAAGCTGGATTTTCTAAAGGTCGTGACAACTGTATTACCATCTCATTTGTCCTGCAGTGTGGTCTTTCCACTTTCTATGCACTCTTTGATTTCAGTGGACTCTCATGGAGAGGAATTTTAATTCAGAACATGGCTGCTCTGGCAAGAGAACACATCAAAACATCTATGTCTGTGTACTTCAGTTGGAATACAGACACGCCCTCAATCTAAGGAGCCCGGCAAGCAGTGGAGTTCAAGGTCATACTGGTATTGATTAAAAAGCTTAGGTGGTACACACCTTTAAACCTACCACTCAGGAGACTAGTCAGTTCTGGTGAGGCAGTTCAGTTGAGTCAGTGAGTTGAGAGGCAGTGCAGTGGAAGTGAGTTTGTGGCAGTTCAGTTCGTGGAATTCAGAGGCAGTTTTACTAAGAGAGTTTTACACAGATAGGGTGAAGAGAGAACAAGCTAGACACAGGTGAAGACAGAATGAGCTAGAGAATGAGAAGGAGCCAGAAGATTAAAACTGATTGCTAGAGTTAGTTTGAGGCCAAGCAAAGCAATTCAGGGGGCGAGAGAGAGAGGCTAGATAGAATCAGTCAGTTTGAAGAGGAGTTTGAGCTAGAAAAGCTACGTTGAGCCAGCCAGCCAGAGTTCAGAAAGATCAAGAAAGGGTGAGCTTATTCAGCAGTCTTGGAGGCTGAAAACATCACAGGCCTAGATTAGGTTGGACAGAGGTTAGAAGCTTCCAGGAGTTGGCCTAGGTTAGCAGAAGGAGGCAGTAAGCTTCAGAGATGACAATTAAATCAGGTGAATAAAAGATTTAACACTCTGATTGTTTCTGACCAATCTGATAGAGCAGAAAGTGTCAGTTCTTGGTTGTCTTGCCAGGCAACCTGCACTTCATGCCCTTTGAAGGCCAGCTCTACAGAAAGCCAATCAAGTGAAGACTGACAAATAATGTAGCATAAAATACTCACTTTTAGTACGTTCCCAAGCTATAAGTTTATGCTTCACCAATTCTCTTAAAACTTTATTACAGCCACCATGTTTCAGGCTGGCTATAGAAGCAATCAAACTGCAGGGAACAATTTCATGGTTCTTCATACCCATTTCAACCTGAAAGTAAAGGAATCACGCCACAATAAGCAATACAAAATCTTGTCTATTAAAACCCTGCTAAGAAATTAGCCTCTTGGAAACTTTCCCGAGTAAGTAGATCTCTAGCCACAGCTGTGTAGCCTATCAAGACTAGATTGTGAGAAATGTACTGTTAAGCAAAGCAGGCTACAAAGTACTACTGAAAGATCCCCGGAGGGTATCTTCCGTCAGAGAGACCCCCTCCCAAAGAACAACGAGTCCATTCGGATGCAAACAGCAAGAGGCTTTTATTTTGATTCACGAGTACTCGGGGCAGCAAGGTCACTCGGGAGGACCTTGCGCGCCTCCTTGGGGAAAAACTGGGGTTTTTTATAGGGTTTTAGAGCAGAAGCACTGGTACAGAAGCGAGAGGGCATGGTTACAGGGGGCTGATTGGTACGTTTACACGAGACCACAATTTGCGTCAAAGTTTGGCAGGGGCACCAAGATTCCAGGAACTGGGTGGTCAAGGGGGGTAGGATGACCCCTTGACGTGGCCCGCCACCTGTTATTTTGTTTTTCCCTATCTTAGCTGAAACAGTCTCACAGATATCTATGAGAGTGATTAACACAAACTGTTTTTAGTATGACTGGGGCAGCCTGACCACAGATATCCCAAGTGGGTGACACAGCTAGGATTTCTCAGTAATTTTCCAGTTTCTCATCTGGCCTTCAGAGTTTTATAAAACAGTGGTGTCTCACAAAATGGCGTTAGCTATGTTTAACTTAGGGTGAGGCTGGGGTCTTTCACTACCTGGCACTAACCTGGCTGTTCTGTCACTAGAGAGCATGATCTTAGGGGATTATTGTTGAACACTTGTTCTGTGGCCAAACAAAAAGGTAGTGCATGACTGTAATTCTACAATATAATTATTCTTAACTCCACCATGTTAAATACAGTTAATCACTGAAGTTGTCTCTCAACTTCTAAGAGTAAAAACTCTTACATCACTTTCAAGAAAGGAGAGACATCAGAGAATGAATACAAGGAAAGGATACAGGAGAAAAAAGTTTTGGAACAACTGCCACAGGAATAGTTAACATGTGATGGCAAGATGGAACCCAGGCAAGTAAGGTCAGAAAACATTTCTGCCGGGGGGGGGGGGGGGGGGGGGGGGGGGGGGAGGAGACAAGGAGCCAAGAAAAATGACTCTTGAAGATGCTTTGGCAAAAGACATACAAAGAAGAGCCATGAGTGGTGTTGTATGTCTTTAATCCCATCACTCAGGAAGTAGAGGCAGATGGATCTCTCAATTAGAGGACAACCTGGTCTACATAGTGAGTTCCAGAACAGCCAGAGTTACAGAAAAGGAGGGGGGGGGAGGAGAGGGAGAAAGAAGCTACATTTAGGATATTAACCTACTAAAATACACAAATTAAAAAGAATTAAAACTGGAAGGAATGTACTAGAAAGAATGTACTAGAAGGTAAGGACTACTAAATATCCCTTTTTTTTCAGCCGGATGCAGTGGCACACGCCTTTAATCCCAGGATCGGTAGGCAGAAGCAGGTAGATCTCTGTGAGTTAGAGGCTACACACAGAAACCCTGTCTCGAGAGTCCACCTCCAATTTTTTTCTTCTTCATATGTGGTATATGTGCCATGTGTTTTCCATGTGTGTGTATTGTGTGAAGGCCTGAGGTTCATGTGAGGAGCCTTTCTAGACTGTTCTCCATTTAATTAAAGATTTTAAGAAGTAGTATGGCAGAGTCTGGCAACAAAGTATGGGAGGGTAAAAGGAATGAAGAGTCAACAATTTGAAGTGAAGAAAAAGGTTTATTAAAAGTATAAACAACTGGTAGCAGAGAAGAAAACACCCCAGAAAGCCCTACTACCGCTGCCCCAAGTCACCATTATACCCAGGGAGGAACCACAGCTGTTGCTGCTGGCCCCAGTCACCAACACTGCAATTGTGAGCAGCAAGGACAAAATCCCCTTCCCCTCAACGCACCTAGCCTGGCTCCATGGGCAGCTGAAAACCTGCCCACCAGTGGGGACAAGAAGCTCATCACAAGAAAGGTTCTGGGAACAGTAAAATGGTTCAATATAAGGAATGAATATGGTTTCATCAACAGGAATGACACCAAGGAAGTCGTATTTGTACACCAGGGTGCAGAGGCAGCAAATATTACAGGCTTTGGTGGAGTTCCAGTTCAAGGCTGTAAATATGCAGCAAACTGTAACCATTATATAGATGGGTCCTCTACGCAATTAGCAGCAAATCGGCCAGAATTCTGAGAGTTGGGTAAAGAATGAGGGTTCGGAAAGCACTCCTGAAGGCCAGGCCCAACAGCCGAAGGTTCCCACTTTACTACATGCGTTGACTCTATGGGCCTCGACCACCGTATTCCAACTCTCCTGTGCAAGTAGAAGTGATGGAGGGTGCTGACAACCAGGGTGGAGGAGGGCATGGCTGACCACTGAGAGTGTATATCTATCGGGGTTACAGACCGCGATACCACAGGGGCCTCCTAGCCAAAGACAGCCTAGAGGATAGCAATGAAGAGGACAAGAAAACCTAACAAGATGAGACCCAAGGTCAGCAGCCACCTCAACGATGGTATCGCTGTACCTTCAATTACCGACACAGACATCAAGAGAACCCTGAACCACAAAATGGCAAAGGGACAAAAGCAGCTGATCCACCAGCTGGGAATTCTTCTGCACCCAAGGCTGAGCAGGGCGGGGCTGAGGAAATGCCGGCTTACCATCTCTACCATCATCCAGTTTGGTCATCCAACAAGAAGAAAGGAATATGAAATTCCAGCAATAAGAAATGAACAAATATTGGAGCTGAAGACGTAAGTGCTTGCTTTTTTCCCACTGACCAGATACACTAGAACTAGCTGCATTATCTATGCAGCATGGGGTTTTTATTATTTTTACCTAAAGATGTCTCCTTTTGGTAGTGACAAACGTGTTTCTTAAGGAAAAAAAGGCCTGTTTTTTTTTGTTTTTTTTTTTGTTGTTGTTGTTGTTGTTTTTTCCCAATGGATCTTTAATGGTTTTTAAATTGTTTCATATCTGGTCAAGTAGAAATTTTTAAGAACTTCATTTTTAATTAAGTTTACAACTTCAGTTTTTTCAAAAGTCAACAAACTGCAAGCACCTGTTAATAAAGGTCTTAAATATATGGGATGGGAAAAATGGGGTGGGGGGGGGAGGAGATCATGTTGAAAGTGCAACAAGTTAAACAATAACTGACAGAGAGGCAAAGATGTTCTTAGAAAGAGGGAGTAAGCAAGAAAAGGCAACACCGGTAGCATCTATCTGAACCCGGAGTGGTTAAGTTCAATGTCTAGGTAATTCCTTAGGAAGCTTAGAAATCCTGGCAGAAAAATCCATTACTCTGGTGTACCACTGTAACTGAACCCTTGAAACTTTTAACTCGTTTTTATGTTCTGTCCTTGCTTTCCCAATCCTCCAATACACCTCTTGACTACCCTATTTTTTTGGCACGCATTGAGAAATGAGTGAATGTGCTGATAAGAAGAGAAGGAAAGTCACTATTTAAAAATATTATTTAAAGAAAAGCCCAGGTTAACTAAGGAAGCTATAGAAGGGAAATGCATGCCAAATTTCATGAGATCTTGCATTTGATTGATATTGTAAATGCTACTTATTTAATTTCAAAAAACGTGACTACCAAGGCTTTAAATAATACATGGCCCAGGCAATTCACGTTACATATCCTATTATGTTACATAGTCATCCTTATCAAAAAGCAGTGACTCCTCAACAAGGACTGACTTATTCTAATCTTAGATTTATGCCCTGATCTCTGTGCCATGACACTAAAACTATACAATCAGATTTTGTCATTTTTCCTAATTAAAACATTCATTGGCTTGCGTACACACCGTTACTAGGCCTGCAAGGGTCTACATGATTCGGTTTTCAGGTTTTCCATGTACAGCCCCAACTATTAGACCAAGACATGCCAGCCTTTCCTTTCTTTGAAGACTTTCCCTCCCATCCCTGGGTTTTTGCTCTCATTTGCCTCCAACTCTCTCCAAGGACACCTCTTCTCCTGTGCGTAACACGCCGTTGGTTCGGGACTGGGAACATGACACAAACTAACTTTGTAGTTGGACTAAGAATAAATAAAGGACTCTTGGATTCAGTCTCCATCACTACACAACTCACCACATGGATACTTTCTATTCCCTTTTCCGTAGTCACCTTACCGCTACTTATTCCTTGGTAATCACATTACTAATTTATTTACTGGATTACTTGACGAAGAGGCATCTCCTTGCCCCTTTGTCTGTTTTGCACTCTTTGTTCTGTTTTGCAGAACAGCCTAAGACAAGTACATTTTCTTGAGCGAATCACAGGGAACATTAGGCGGGTTGGGTCTCAGGGGCCTAAGAGAGAAGCAAGCGCTTCTGGGGTAAAAGGAGACGCAGATAGGAAGGCTTTTCACCCTTTAGATAAAAATTAGGTCTTTCTCCACAAAGCTTAGTGAAAGTCAGACCTCGGTTCCCAGGTCGCAGCCTGGGCAACAACCCGCAGACCAGAGCCCTAACGTTCAGTTTCCAGCGACCTTAGAAGCGCAGGAGGAGGACGCCACCGGAGGACAAGCAAGAAAGGCTCGTGCCTTACCGCGGTCAGGACCCTGAAGTCATCGCGGCTCATGTACCGCAGCTTGGCCACATTCACCTTCCCCATGCTTGCTCAGCTCCCGCACGGACGCCCCCGGGGAGGACGCAAAGCAGCTGGGTAATCTCGCGCGCTTTCCGCCGCTGCCGGCCGGCGCACGCGCCCTGTCACCACGGTGCTTGTTGGTAGGTAAGAACACACGCTCGCCTGGCACGGCAGAGTACCGTGTTTTCCGGTCTCAGGGCTAAAAATCACGGAAAAGTGATTATCCGGTCTCTCGGGAACTTTTTCCCGCAAGGCCGGTTTGGCGAGTTGCAAGTGTTTCACATAAATACGCCACATTTTTTTCTTAAGCTGCCAGGACCTGATCCAAAACGGCGCCACCACCCCCGGAGCTTCCGCAAGCAAGGACGCTACGTCACTTCGCGCTACGTCACTTCCGGGGCGGGGCACATTTCGTCCTCGCCGCTCCCGGTCCGCGTTCGGGGCAGCCGCCAGCTGGTGTAAATTATGGGAAAGGGAAGGTCTCAGCCGCCCCGCTGCCCCGGGAAGGCTTTCCGGGAGACCTCCATACTAGACCAGCCTACCGGTGACCGAGGGGCTGTACCCAAGGCAAATGTGTTCACACCGTTCCTTCGTCACGACGGCAGCAGCGTGACTTCGTGACGTTCAGTGTCTGTGTTTCTCTCCTCAACAATTGGTTATATTTTAAGCCTTTAAGCTACTGATCTTTTGGTCTGCTCTTAGCTTAAGCTGGGATTCCTCGTATTATCGAGTGTTATGACCTGCTTTGTCCTTGAGAGATTGCCAACCATTGGTGTGTAATTTTTTTTGGGGGGGGGCGATATGCAAATTTCACTTTAAGCGTTGGTATTGGGATTCAGATGCTTTCCTTTCGAGTTCCTTTCATACTCCACTGCTTCCCATTTCTAAGAACCAATGTATTCATTTACTCCTTTTTGACAGCGGTGCCGAGTATGTTGGTCTGTCCATAGTAAAGCGTATACTAGGGGCTGACAGCAGGCTATTCTGTCCCACGTCTTTCCTGCTGAAGTAGTTGGTACTCTGAAATCAAGGAACAATCCTCTGTCATCTCTGGCCCTACCTTGCATGGGGACTTTGGGGCCTTGCGTATTTGAATACAGGACTCTAATTAGGCTCATGCAATTAAGACTTAACTACTTAAGACTATTCCATTTAATGGGATTTTTTTCGTTCTACATTAACATTAGAAAATATAAAAACAAAAAGTTTGAAGAAGCTACATTGGTTGTCAGTCGTTCTCTTGCATTGCTTCACAGAGCCACCACTAATTGGGTTTTAACCCAAACTGTGGAACGCCAGGGATAATCTGAGTCCAGATTTCTCATCTTTTCAGTATTTTTTCTTTATTACTATTATTCATTACAGTTTATTCATTTTGTATCCCGGATGTAGCCCCCTCTCTCGCTCCCCCTTCCCTCTTACACTGCCATGTCCATCCCCTAGTCCACTGATAGGGGAAGTCCTCCTCCCGTATTACCTGATCCCTAGCCTATCAGTCTCATCAGGACTGTCTGGATCCTCTTTCTCCGTGTCCTGCTTAGGCCACCTCACTAGGGGTAGGTGATCAAAGAGCCAGCTTTCCTTTCTAGGGGAACCCACATGGAGACCAAGCTGCTCATGGGCTACATCTGAGCAGAGTGTCTAGGTCCTCTCCATGGGTGGTCCGTAGTTGATTCTTCAGTCTGTACAGGATCCCCTGAGCCTAGATTTTTTGGCTCCTGTCCCCTCCAGGTCTTTCTGTTTCTCCCTTCTTCCATAAGATTACCTGCACTCTGCCCGAAGTTTGATTATGAGTCTCAGCATCTGCTTTGATACCCTGCTGGGTAAAGTCTTTCAGAGGCCGTCTGTGGAAGGCTCCTGTCCTCTCCTACTTCTGATCTCTATCCTGTTTGCCCTTCTGAATGAGGACTCAGCCTCTTCCCTAGGATCCTGCTTGTTGTTCGGCTTCTTTAGGACTGTAGATTTTAGTATGTTTATCCTGTATTATATGGCTAATATCTACTTATAAGTGAGTATATACCATGGGTGTCTTTCTGCTTTGGGATTACCTCACTCAGGATGATCTTTCTAGTTCCATGCATTTGCCTGCCAATTTCATGATTTCCTTGTTTTTAATAGCTGAGTAGTATTCCATTGTGTAAATGCACCACAATTTCTGTATCAGTTATTCAGATGAGGGCATCTAGGTTGTTTCTAGATTCTAGCTATTATGAATAAAGCTCCTATGAACATAGCTGAGCAGATGTCCTTGTATGGTTGATCATCTTTCAGATAAATGCCCAGAAGTGGTATAGCTGGATCTTGAGGTAGCACTATTCCTAATTTTCTGAGAAAGTGCCAGATTGATTTCCAAAGTGGTTGTACAAGTTTACGTTCCCTCCAGCAATGGAGGAGGGTTGCCCTTTCTCCACATTCTCTACAGCAAGTGTGTTCCTTGAGTTTTTTATTTTTAAATTTATTATTTATTACAATTTATTCACTTTGTATCTGACTATGGCCTCCTCCCTAGTCTTCTTCCAATCCCACTCTCCCTCCGTCTTCTCCCGCTATTGTGTTCTCCCACTGACAGGAGGTCCTTTGAGTTTTTGATCTTAGCCATTCTGTTGGGTGTAAGGTGAAATCTCAGGATCATTTTCACTTTCATTTCCCTGATGACTAAGGACATTGAGCATTTCTTTAAGTGTTTCTCTGCCATTCAATATTCCTCTATAGAGAATTCCCTGTTTAGCGCTGTACCCCATTTTTTAATTGAATTACTTGTTTTGTTGCTTTTTAACTTCTTGAGTTCTTTATATATTCTGGATATTAGCCTTCTGTCAGATATAGGGTTGGTGAAGATATTTTTCCAGTCTATGGGTTGTCTTTTTTTTTTTTTTTTTTCTTTTGACAGTATCCTTTCCTTTACAGAAGCTTTTCAGGTTCATTAGGTCCCATTTATTGATTGATGATCTTAGAACCCATACTGTTGGTGTTCTGTTCAGCAAGTTGCCACCTATGCCAATGTGTTCAAGGCTCTTCCACACTTTTTCTTCTAACAGATTTAGCTATCTGGTTTTATGTTGAGGTCTTTGATCCACTTGGACTTTAATTTTGTGTAGGGTGATAAATATAGTATTTCTTTTTAAATAAAATTATCTGGGGCTGGAGATATGGCTCAGTGGTAAAAGCACTGTTTGTTTTTCTAGAGGTCCTGAGTTCAATTCCTGTCAACCACATGGGGTCTTATACCCATCTATACTGGGATCTGATGCCCTCTTCTGGCATGCAGGTGCACATGCAGATAGAACATTCATAAACATTAAATACTTAAGTCTAAAACATAAAAAAGGAAATAAAATAAAAATAATCCTAGTAATCAAGTCATTTATGAGTAAAGGATTCAAATTCAGTCTTTGTCTCTCACGATACTTAATGTTGGCTTAAACCAGTGGCTCTCAACCTTTCTAATGTTTTGATCCTTTAATATAGTTCCGTATATTGTGGTAACCCCCAAGCATAAAATTATTTTCATTGCTATTTCATAACTGTAATTTTGCTACTGTTATGAGTTGTAAATATTTTTGAAGAGAGGCTTTTTTCGTAGAGCTGTCAACTCAAAGGTTGAGAACCACTGACTTAAACACACAGCCTATTCTAAGATTTTTCGATATTCCCTAGGGAAACGCAATTCCAAACCCTAAAAAGTGAAGGGAAGTAGCTGTGTAAAAAATACTAGATGTGACAGAAAAGCTAAGGACTCAGGATGTTGAATTTCCTTATGCCAGACTTCCCCACTACAGTCAAGCTCATAATACAGACTTGCTTCCCATAAAGGACCTTGAGTGTCTATAATTCTAAATTTTTAGCCTGGAATTCAAAGTATTAATAGTCCACACCTTCCTTTTGAATCAGTTTGTAGTCATGTCTAATTTTTCTTGCTCAACTTCCTTTCCCCACCACCTCGCCCTTCACCTGCAACACTCTCTTCACGTCTTTTTATTTCTTTTCCCCAATCATAATTTGTGATTCAAGTTCTATTTACAATGTGAAGCATTTATTATTTCTTTTTATATTGATTTCCTAGATCAGATGTAATAAATTACTGCACTTGCTACTCAAAACAATAGAAATTGATTTTCCCATAGTTCTTAAAACCAGAAATACGAAGTCATTTTTCAGTGTGATAAAATCTAAGTGTTGGTGTTAAGTGAAAAATAAACCAGACTCAGACAAATACCACATATTATTTCATGTTCAGAACCTGGATTTAGAGTGGTATATTGTGTGAAGATGTGTTTATGGTTGTATTTAGATTATAAAACTAGAAAGGAATCACCAAAGGGGAGGAAAAGCTAAAGGATAGTAGGAAATAAGATAGTACTAGAGTGTGTGTAAGCAGAAAGTAGGTCTGACTATGATAATCAAGAGAATCCACTTTAGCTCACAAGGAGTCCTGAGGAAAGTAGATTTCATAAAAATGTGATATTAAATATCCAGTAAGAAATATCCACATATACAGAGAAAATTTAAATAAGATTAAAAAACTGGAACAGTGACTTTAAATGTCTTTTGACATAAAACAATCATAACTATATATTCATTTGTGCTGACTGGTTACAACTTTATTATAAAGAGTTATCTATGAAAAATCTTTTAGCCAGGTGGTGATAGCACATGCCTTTAATCCTAGCATTTGGGCAGTGGGGTGAGGGTGGGGAGGGGACAGAGGTGGGGGAAGGAACAGGCAAAACTCAGAGTTCCAGGCCATAGTAGTCTACAGAGTCAGTTCCAGGACAGCCAGAGATACACAGAGGAAAACTGTCTCAAAAAACCAAATAACCAAACCCCCAAACCAACCAATCAAACAAACGCTTTTATTTTATACAACTGGTCCAAAAAGACTTTCTCTAAGTTTCAAAATGCTAAAATGAGTTCTAGTTATATTTAATGAACAGCAGTCACTATGGCAAACCTCCAAATACTACAATTTTTCCCACAGGCAAGTTTATAAATACCTCAAAATATCTGCTGGAACTCCAAAATGATCTACAAAGTTTTGTAACAGGGCCATAGAGCTTAGCACAACTGACTCCATGATGG